CAAATGAGATATGTTAAGCTTTAATTGGAGGTCACCCAAGGGAGAAGCCGAGAGAGAGAAAGAAAGAAGGTTTATTGCAACTTGAGGACCAAGTTTTAGGACCTTAAGTGCTCCTCTAGGTCATCATGAAACCTAGATTGCAACTTAGGGCCCAAGTTTAGGTTATGTGGCTAGGATTAAATCTTGCTCAAGAAGCCACATTAATAGCATTAGACTTTAAAGGCATTTCATCATGGTATTTTGGCTTTTATTCATTAATGCCAAGATTTTCAAGATCATTTCATTAATGGCTTAGATTCTCAAGATCATTTCATCATGATATTTTGGCATTTCTTCATTAATAGCCAAGATTTTCATAGTAATCATGACACTTGACTTTAGGGGCATTTCATCATGTTATTTTGGCTATTGTCCATTAATGCCGAGATTTCCAAAATTAAATTATTAATGGCATTTCATCATGACTTTTGGCTCTTATTCATTAATGTCAAGATCCTCAAAATCATTATAATCATGACATTAGACTTTAGAGGCATTTCATCATGATATTTTGGCATTTCTTCGTTAATACCTTAGATTCTCAAGATTTTCTCATCATGGTCTTTTGACCTTTCTTCATTAATGACTTAGATTCTCAAGATCATGTCATCATGATTTTTGGCTCATATTCATTAATGACTAAGATTTTAAGAAAATTTGATAATGATGGCCAAATCTAGACATTAATGAAGGAGATTTTGTAATCATGGCAAAATCTAGAAAGATTTGGTAATGATGACGAGAAGATATGGCTTGGAGAAGAAGCAAGTGAAGCCTATAAATAGAGGCAATTCTCCTTCATTTCTCACCATTCCACCATCACCTCTCTCTCTCGCGCTCTCACTCTCTAGGCCGCCCTCTCTCCTCTTGGCCACGCCCTTGCCGTGCCTGTACCCGTGCCGCCATCGACCACTGTAGATGTTTTCTTGTGCTTATAGGTGAGTGGATTCCCTAACACTTGGATAGAGCGGTGTGTTACGTGGTTGGAACGCGGCATGTAAGTGAATTTCCTAATCTTGTGACGTGGTTTGCTTGGACCGTGTTCGGTCTTTTGATTGGTTATGGTTGGTTCTTTCCATGACTTGCTTATATGTCATATTTGAGGTGACGTGGTTTGCTTGAACTCTGTTCGGTCATTGGACTGGTTGATTTCAAAGAAAGATTATGAATCTTTGAAAAGGAATTTTGCTTAAGAAATGATTTCGATGTCTTGCGAAGGAAAGCATGCTTTGAAATGATGTTTTTACAAAGTCCTTTGAAAATGGATTAATTTCATTGCTATGTTTAAAAAAGGATTTCGATGCCTTGAGAAGGAAAACATGTTTCGAAATGATGTCCTTGTAAAATCGAGCGGCTGTTTGCATATGTGATCACGCAAAATTGTGTTGTGGCATTGTTATGAGCATGAATCATGTTTATATGGGTTAATTGAAAATATAAGAATTGACTTGAATGCTCGAGTGCTCGTGCGACCACTAAATAAAAGAAGAAGACCGTCGTGTTATTGGCGATACCTCGGTAAACTAGCGTCGGGATGCCCTAGTTGAGCTAGGATGCCTAGGTTGAGCCCGGATGCCTCGGTAAACTAGTGCTGGGATGCCCTAGTTGAGCTAGGATGCCTTGGTTGAGCCTGGATGCCTCGGGTGAGCTAGCCCCGGGATGCCTCGGTTGAGCCGGGATGCCTTTTTTTCGGCCAGGATGCCTAGCATGAAGCTGGATGCCTCGGTTGAGCCGGGATGCCCTGGTTGAGCCAGGATGACGATAATGAATTCTTTATGTATACCGGTATGTGTGTATTGATAAGCCGAGTTTATGTGACCATATAAAGGTAAGCTTCCATGTGAACATAGTAAGGGCAAGGTCAAAGTCTTTGCTATTTATGTGCCATCGACATAAGGCGGGAAAACTATTTGTATGCGTTAGTACAATGGTGAGGCATCATCCTGTACGAGTATTAGTGAATTTACTCATTGAGTCTCCTCGACTCATTTCCCGTTGTTTTCCCTTTTTCAGGTTCATACGGTGGAGATTAGCATAGAGGAGCTAGGAGTAACCCTAGCCTTTGCTTGTGATATAGTTTGTACGTGGAACGACACGTAGAAAAGGGCTTGTAAAAATATGTTTAAGAAAAATGGTAAATGTATGTTATGCATGTTTTCCCTGATTTCCAACTATTATATAAGGTTTGCTCTTGATGCTTGTCGAAATCCCGCTATTTGTTCTGATTGTGACTGTCCCGAGTTATGCTTCCGCTTGTGATTAAAGAAAGACAATACTGAACGGGACGTCACAAAGTGAGCCTTAGGTTACGGTCTTGGCCGGGACGTGACCGAGGTGTGGTAAGGGCATTACACATGCTGTAATCTTGGTGTGCAGAGTTAGTGCATTAATTGGTGGCACGTGATCACGTAGGAATATTTTGTGCATTTTCACGTGTGAAATCGAATATATTTCGACGTATGAGCATATAGTACTCTTGCATCAAGTTAAATGAGACAGCTTATAATTTGGTATGAGTGACTGTGTACTTGTGTGATCACATAATACCCTGATGCGTTTTACGAGGGATGATGCCCGATTTATTGGATGCCCGGAAAGTGTCCGGATGCCTTGTCGCGGTAGAGACCGGACTCGATGCTCCGAAAGGAATGCCGTCCTGAGGCATATGTATACATGGAACGATGTCGTGCCCGATGGGCCGAGACGATGCCCGGGTAGGTCCGGAAGACCGCCATCCTTCAGGATGTGTCGTGGCCCAAGGGGTCGTTAATAATAGGAACATGCGTGGTGCATTGCACATGGAACTGTTGTGATGTGTTCTGAGTATATGTGATGTATATTGCTTATTTATGTGATATTATAACCTGTCGTGTGCAGCAAGTGTGCTAGGACCAGGTAGGGTTGCCTACGTGTGGATGTGCCTGGTTAATTTATTATGTTATGATTGAGTTGCCAACCTATATTGTAACTAAGACAGGGCGCGAGACGCCTTGCTATTGATCTACCATCGTCATTGAAACACGGGAACAAGGGACGCCTGAGGCGAATCAGCGTCCTAATTGGGGATTAGTTAGTTGACTCATTGAGATTTTATCTCACTCCCTCTTGTTTAACATTTTTCAGGACCGTAACGATGAATTGCATACGGTCTACTTTTTGGAAGCTCGTTTTTAGAGTAGAAGCGTGACGTTAAACCCCTGACCACCAACCCCTTTCTGACTGGTTGGTCCTATAGGAAGTATTGTAGTGTTGGTTTGTAAATATACTAACTTCTTGGGATAAGGATGTAAATGTATAAAAGCATCTTGTTGATTTGTTTATGGATGGTTGTTTTCCTGTGCTATCCTTGTCTTTTTAATTGTTGGGAGTTTAGTACACATTTCCGCATGCTAATAATCGAAAGGTGAAATGAATCGATTGGTGACGCGTCCTGGGACGTCGCAACATAACGACCGCAATGGGATGTTCGTGTGCCCGTGGGTGCGGGGCGTGACAGATAATTTCTTTCTTTTGTTGTAAGTATGAAAAAGGGATAAATATCCTCTTATTGCTTGGAAAGTTCGCTCCTCTCTTCATGAAAATGAGATCTATTATTGCTCATAAGTATAATTATCTAGGTTCTTGTTGATTGTTAAAACTCTAAAAGTTAATATAAATATGTATGATTTTTCTTATTAATTTAAATGACGTTCATTTTCATTGCTTTGATGGGTGTTATGTTCGCCCCTCTTCCTAAAGACTCATTTCGTTTCTTTATAAATATAGATGATTTATAAATTGGTGCAATTTGATGGATATGGAAGAGAACTTTGATTCGTATTGTCGGTAGAAGATTGAATATTTTACGTCCTCTTTTTTGAGTGGTAATCATAACTCTAATTAGATCTTCAGTTCCAACCCAAAAATGATGGGAAAATTTTTTGATTCTTTATTCTGCAATTGAGCTTGTCTAAAGAGCTAGAAATGCAAGGCATGACTAATAGAATTAAGTGAATTGGATTCAATCCTAAGAACCCTTTTTTCGTATGGATATTCATATCAAAACTAGCTGATCTCTCCTAGAGAAGCTAACGAAATCAATGTAGTCGCCAATCAGAACCTTTAATTCGAGGTCAATTAGTGGTAACTCTCACTCTCGTGAACCAACCAATAGCACTACTAACTTGACTTGGGGGGAATCAGCCAATGACTTGACCCATCAAACAAGGAAAAATGAATCCACGACAAGGTGACCTGTCGCTACATCTGTACCCTGGCGAGTACTTCACATGAAACCCTTTGACACCTCACCTTAAACATAAGCAAATCAACATCCTAGGAGTAGGAGCCCGTGAAGTGAAAAGGAGATGGTAAAACAAGGAAAATGAGAGAGATGACACTGACTAGGGGTGAGCGGTTCCAGGTTCCGGGTAGGTTTCGCCTGGAACCTGGAACCTACGCTCGGGTACAGGTTCCTCAAAATGAGGAACCTGGAACCTACCCGTCGAAACGTGGAACTTGGAACCTACCCTGTCACAGGTTTCAGGGTCGGTTCCAGGTTCCAACAGGTTCTTTTTTTAATTTCGTTTTGAATTAAACAAAACGAAAATAAATGCAAGAATCCTTCATACTACAGGCAGCACCTAAGACCGTTCTTTCTAAAGTGTTATTTTATTAGAATTCAGTGGAAACAATGGAGGATATGACAGATAAGACACATTCCTATCATATAGCATGCCCAACAGAGCTCTACTTGCAACTCGCATGTAAGTGAACTGTCATTTGCAACGCAAGCAAGAAACCTTGACACAGCAACTGCACAGCAAAAGTGACGAAGAACATTGTCAATTTCCAAAAATCAAAGAAATTTGCGAGACAACTGGTAATTGCACAATGGGGCACTTAAGGTCAGCAATCTAAAAGCCTCCTCTCTCATAAAAAAGGCTGAACCACGGAGTGCCAAGAATACACCAATCTAGGGATTCAAACAAAACTTTCAACTGCATCCATGAGCCGCAAGGTAAGGCCCCATAAGCGAGGCCAAAAATAAGGAAAGGAAAAATCACCAACAGAATAATGCTTGTAACCCCCAAACCCCCTACCAAAACAAAAAATCCCCACAATATGCTAGAGGGCATAGACTAAAATGACATCAAACGAAAACAACAATGAATCAAAAAATGCCATCGCTACATCACCTCATGGGAGCTGCAGCCAAAAACGAAAAAGAAAACAAAGACAACATCGACCGAGCAACGCGAAATTGCTAAAAGAAATCCAAATAAGATCACGATCGCAAATGGGTCGGGGAATTCAATCAACAACAACAACAAGAGAAGGATAAAGGGACCCACTTTGATGCATAAATTGCCGGTGCAGATGATGTGTTGGATCTTGCCAGGGACGAGCATGGACTTGAACTTGGCGGGCAGATCAGGCGCCTTGTGCGGTATGTGTAGATCCCCCAATGCCAACACCAACACCATCTTTCTCGTTCTCGCTACTCTCTATCGATCACAACGACAACGATAAGAAAAAGGGTCAACGAAAAAACAAGAAAAGGTAATATTTCCACACCCAAAGATGATCCTTTCTATTTCTCTTTCTCCCTCGATCGAGCTTCAACAATCAATCTCTCTTCTTCTTCTCCCCTTAACGCAGCGCATGAAGTTCAGATTGTGCAAGTGCGTAACAGTGATGAAAACTAACAAGGGTTTTGCGAAGAGAGAGAGAGAGACGTTGACTCGGACATACCCTGGAACCGAAGCGGACATGGAAGACCCTCCTCCATCCCTCGTTCTTGTCGTGCTCTGAAACTTCTCCCTTTCTCCTTAGGTTTACCATCTCGAACTCACCTCGTCTTCGTACACGTGCCTCCAGCAATCAGGTTCTTCGCCATCCCACGCTCTGTCATCGTCCCTCCCGGGCCTTGAACAAAAATCGCGCCACCTCTGGCCCTCGAACCCGCGCGATCCTTAGCAGAATCCTCGTCCCCGCTTGAGATGCTTAGCATCTCGACGTCCGAATCGTCATCGTCATTGACCACCCTCCTATTCCCGTTGCTGCTGCCCCTGTTCTTATTGCCGCCGCCCCCAATCTGCCGCTGCGCACCACCGTAGTCCGCCCTCGCGGCCGGCGCCACCGCGGCGGAGCTCCTCTGCTGGGTGCGATTGATGAAGACAAAGGAAGAGCCCAGGCGACGCCGAACGGAGAAAGGAGAGGCAAGCTCATCGAGTCGTGGGTGCGGGGAGTGCGAGAGAGAGCAGACTGGAGGAAGACCGAGCGAGAGGAAATATGGAGAAGAAACAAGAAACTAATGAAAGTTAGGGTTTTTAGATAGCAAAGTAAACCGGTTCTGGTTCCCCGGTTCCGATTCCTAGGAACTGGAATCGGAAACCGGAACTGGAACCGGTGGTTCCTAAAAATTTGGAACCGGGAACCGGAACCTACCACCTTGGAACCGGGAACCGAACCGGACCCGCCGGTTCGGTTCTTCAGTTCTCGGTTCTACCCTAGAACCGTGCTCACCCCTAACATTGACAAGTGACAACACATGACACTCGATGTCAAGTCCACTTTCAGAGACTATTCTTCCCAAGCATCTACGCACGAAAATGAAAATAGTATGGGAAGAGGGATCTGTACTAAACATATCAGAACTGTAATGATCAAATATGTATTTGGAGATAAATAAAAATATTAATATTACGAAAAATCTCAAATTAATTTTTTGACAATCAAAATTCTCAAATGGGTACATTTATGATAAATTTACCTTCCATTAATTTCCATTAAATTGGATTAATACAACAAAAATATACAAACCGGTACACCTGGGAGGAATGAAGGTAAGATCTTAAATTGGTATATCCGTTAACTGCCACGTGTCATCCAATTCAGCAATTTAACGGTAAAATTTATCAGAAATTAACAGCGCGTAATTTGTCACATAAGTACCAATTTTTTTATTTTTCATGATATTAAATCTAAATAAAATGTGACCACGAGATAAAATGTGTAGTTTTGAAACCAATCAATTTCATCTACATAGAGTAGCTAACGAGCTAACATCAATAAACCATCATATAGAGTTTTACCTTGTTGATATTTAAATATATTTAACATGTCATCGGTATTTCGCGTTAAATAAAGTCGAACTGCGAGAGCCGCGAGATTGGCCGATAAGAACCGATCCAAAGCGGAATTTGCCCCGAACGGATCCAAACCATTGCTTATAGAAGGATCAATCGGAGGAGCAGCAACTAATCAATCTCGACCCGCCATAGGCCAAAACGAAACATAAGCCAAGTTTGAGCACGAGAGAAGCGTTAACGGAGGGGACGCAGGACTCAATTACCCTAATTGAAGCACCTTCGGAAAACTCTGATTTACCAAACGATAACGTCTGCAAAGAGGCAGATGAGAATGGACACACGATAGCAAAAGCATTCTCTGTGACTTGTGGAGGCGACTCCATATTACTTGGATAAAGGGAAGAAGAAGAAGAAGACGACGACGATGGCGGCTTCGTCGCGCTCCTCTTTCCTCATCGAGATCCTGCTTTGTGTCTCTCTCCTTTGCCTTTTGTGCTCAAACGAGAAGGCCTGTGTCGTCCATGGAGCTGATGAGATCACCCTCCCAGTCAGCTCTCTTTTCCCTTCTCCCGACTGCAAAGCTTCGACTTCCAACGGTCACCTCTCTCTCTCTCTCTCTCTCTCTCTCTCTCTCTCTCTCTCTCTCTCTCTCTCTCTCTCTCTCTCTCTCTCTCTCTCTCTCTCTCCATGGAGTGTCATTAAAAGGGCAAACTTAGATTGTCAAATGGTGATATGCAAAATCGTGATTGGTGAAAACTAGAGACTACTCGTGCAATTTATTTATTTATTTTGTTGCTTAAAATTAAGCTCTTTCAAGGTCAAAATTGGCTTCGACGTGCAATGCTTAGGCGGTCAGTTATTCATCTAATATTCAAAATGATATGAATCATTTCTTTAACTTTGGTCTAATTAAATCGAAGAAAGTGTGTACGTTCAGCATTTTTAATTTAGAATCCACACAAATAATCTTTTACTTTCATAGTATGTTTCAATTACACATATATAAGACAAATTGTACATGACCGGGCCCTTAAAATGCTCATCTCCTAAGATCCTCCCTTAGGTCTTAGGGGATATAAAGCATTTCAAGGGATATTCCATCCCTCTTGGGGAAGACAAAAATCTAGGGGAGAATTGGGGGAACTTGGGATTGTCCGGCCGCCGGGACATTAAATAAGGTGTGTATGTTGCTCGCCAGTTCCTAGTAGGGTTGGTCGGCAGCAGCACCAAGGAAGCAATGAACCCTAGGGTTAAGGTAACTACTGCAAAACCCTAGGGGAGCATCTCCCAGTTACCTTAATTTTCAATTCAAATCCCACATAAATAATCTTTTAATTTCATATTCTGTTTTAATTACGTATATCTAAGACAAATTGTAGAATGCATTAAACGTGGATAATGGACTTCTCGAAGAGTCTGCAATGGAAAACGTACACTTCCCATCATAGTCTCTACTCCTTCAAATTTGTTTTTAAATCATCTATTTGCTTTGTATAATTTTTATAAAAAAATTAATAATCTAGTGCTAAGAAGCATTGTTAATGCTAGACCACTCATTTAATAGGAAAAAAAGGTACATCTCTATGATCTGTTCTTACTACGGCTCTATTTATTTTGTGAAAAAGAAATTGATTTGAAAAATATTTTTCTAAAAATCAGCGCTTATATCGTTTCACGAAAATGTTTAGATATAAATTATTATCGATAATGAAAATATTTTTTATTAACTAACAAGTTATCACTTTTAGACAAATTATTTATTTTCTGAGAAACAAATAGAGCTAGTACTCATAAAATCCCTATCATAACCACATATTTTTGTGGTTGTTCTACCACAAAGATTCGCGAGATTAAGCCCGCATAAATCCCCACAATGGTCGGGCCCAAAAATAAAACTTTTCCCTTTAATCTCTCTCTCTCCGATTTTTTTTCTTTTTACAGTTAGGTGGTGCTTGGGATGTTTACAAATTTTAAAAGCCCGCTTCTCCATGTTGATTTAATACATTTTGAATTTTACGTCTGAAGTTCTCAACGAAATTTGAATTCAAAATAACAACAAAATGAGCAAACTCAATTCTCATCCGAGCCAAAACCTTGGTGGCCTCTCTCTCTCTCTTTCTCGAATTGAACAGGTGCATACAGTATTCTGCAAGTCCTTTGAGTGCAGCTTGTCAGCCTCATATGGAGTAATGCTATGATAACGACCACAAGCTGCGATTACAATGGGAATAGGCAACCGAAGCAAATTTTGAATAGAATCTCAAATAGAAAATGTTCAGATTGTGGACCATATTCATTTCTTCCAGAAAGAAATTGAAACCAACAAGAAGGGTATATAATTACTGCATGTGAACTTTTTTTATACACTCTGAATAATCACTTGAATGTAAGACTTAATTCTTTTTATAGTGTACTCTCGATGCATTTGCACCTATTATCGATACAAGGAAAGTCAAATTAACAACCACACATGTAATTTTACCTAATTTAATTGGGACTTAATACCATGAAAAACCCCAAATTGGTACACCAATGACAAATTTATCTCAAACTATTTTTTTGACCACCAAAAATCCCAAACCTGTACATCTATGACAAATTTACCCAAAACTAATTTTTTGACCACCAAAAACCCCAAACTGGTAAATTTTTCACAAATTTACTCTTCGTTAAATTGGAATAATTCCACGAAAAACCATAAATTGGTAAACCTGTGATAAGCTGAAGGTAAAACCCCGAACTGTTACACCCATCAACTGCTACGTGTCCTCCAACTCAGAAATTTGACGGTAAAATTTAAAGAAAACTAATGGAGGGTAAAATTGCCACATGTGTACCGGTTTGGGATTTTTTGTTGTCAAAAAATTAGTTTAGGGTAAATTTATCATAGATGTATCAGTTTGGTATTTTTCGTAGTATTAACCGTTTAATTAGATTGTAAAGAGTTACCCAACGAGCAAAAATTTATACACTACAATGTCTCATACATATTAAGTTATCTGTTTCTCGTAATTTTATTGGTCTCTTTTACTTTGATTGGACAATGATAAGCATTACTTGCCTAGAATGTAGAAATAATCTACTTATATATTTATGAATTTTTACTTTCTACACAAAAATTAAGATACTAACACATATCCGAGATTTTATTTTGACAATTATGTTCACTTTGTTAAATGATGGATATTTTTCTTGCACCACTTCAAATGTGAAAAATATTTTACATTGGGGACGTTGCTAATAAGAATCCTACATTCATTTTGTCTTGCAATAAAGAAATAGAAACCTATTTTTAGATTGAATGTAAAAATATTTTATACGGATGATGTTGATTTATTTAATAAAGAAATAGAAACCTATTTGTCTTGCAATAATGTGCGATTTCTATTCATTTACTTTTATTTTGGTTGATTTATTATTTTTTCTAATTATAAAATTCCCACTTGGTGAACCCATCAAATGGGATTAAAGATAACAACACGGTATTTGAAAATTACAAGATGTATCATTTTTTATCTACACCGATTTATAAATCTTTGTTAATCGTTCGAAAGCCCTTCATATTAATCAAATTCTCATTCTTCTTGCAGCAAACTCAACCTTGAAGCTGGTTCACAAGCTCGGCCCATGCTCTCCCCTGTTCAACGGCGAACCCATGAACCACACCCAATTTCTGCTCGAAGACATTGCGAGAGCAAAGTGGATTCGATCCAAATTATCTAGCACTGACACCGCCGACAGCCCAAAAGACTCGGCCGTCAGCGTCCCAGCCAAGTACGGTCCTGGCGGAGGGAGCTACCTGGTGACAATAGGACTCGGCACACCAAAGAAGGACCTGACCCTCTTGTTCGACACCGGAAGTGCACTCACGTGGACCCAGTGCGAGCCCTACATCGTGTCTTGCTATACCCAAACCGAGCCAATCTTTGACCCCTCTCAGTCCTCGTCCTATGGCAATATCTCTTGCTCTTCTCCATCTTGCTCTCAGCTTCCTTCTGGGACTGGTAATTAACTAAACCTCAATTTAAATTCCGGGGTATTCCAATTAAATCTCTATATGTTGAACTAAATAATATTCAAGCACTGAGTTTAGTCTCAACGTTATTTCATAAAGCAATTTTATAGATCAATAAAACGGAGAGTAAATCCGACTAAAATGGACAAAAGACTAGTT